TTTTGGGAAATAGCAAGTACTTTTCTAATGGACTCTTTGGTTGTGTTCAATTTTGCTTTTTTTGGTCTTTTTCAACATTTAGATGGAATATCTAAATTTATTGAATATAATTTTTTTTTTTTTTTTTTTTTGCAATGGCCAAAAAAAGTCCTCCAGTGCTAGGAAAGAGTCAAATTCTTGACGATTGAGGCATTTGCTCAAGGTTGAACCACAGTTAGGATTTAAACCTGCTGCTAAACCTTATCAATATAAAAATTGTGATATCTCATGATATGGTGTCTAGGATTTTCTTAAAAGTAAAATAGGGTGGGGCTGAGGCATGGGTGAAGGTATAGGTAAAACAAAACTGACCATGAGTAAATAAATGTTGATGCTGGGAAGTGGGAATTTGGAAGTTCATTATACGGTTTTCTTTATTTTTGTATTTTTGAGATTTTCTATAATAAGTTTGAAATGAGAGAGATAATAACTTTAGTTTAAAACATTGTGATATTTTAACCTTTAAGTCAGGGGTGGAGGATGGCTGCCCCGAGGGCCTTACCATGAAATCATTTGGGCTGGCCCTGCCAAGGCATTGGGGGTGAATTAATTAAATGTTTAACCAAATATAGCAGGCTAACTTTTAAGTCAATAATTTTGTATGTCCTTCGGATGATGTTATAATATCCAAATGGCCCTTAGCAGAAAAAAACATTCCCCTACTTTTAAGTGACAGGTTAAGGTTGAAATCTATCGCCAAGTGTGCTACTTGAGTAAACTATAAAGTACACAAAAGAGTCCACATGGACATTGTCATGAGTAAATTGTCTCACCTCATTCCTCATTTCAAGAACTTAGCTGAGGCCCCATCTCCTAGGCACTCAGGATGGCAGGCTGATTTCTAAATCAGGCCATGATGATATTCCCCACCCGGTGCTCTTCTTCCCAAGGGACCTTGACTCTCCTCCGGATGAGAGATGGGGGCTGTGCGGCCACTTGCCTCTAGGAGAGTTTTTGACTGCTGCAGTAGGGACACGATCAGAGGCTATGTGAGAAAGGGTAATACAGCTCCTGCTGGGCTCTCTGGGTATGCTTGCTCTTGAAACCCAACCTCCTGCTGTGAGGAAAGTCCAAGCAGCTACCTGGAGCACCCCTGTATGGAGTTCCAGCAGATAGCCCCCGCTGAGGTCCCAGCTGCTAGCCAGCACCAGCCTCCAGGTGCTCCAGCGAGCGTGCTCACCCAGGATGATGACCCCAGTCGTCACCCAGCTGAGGCCCAGGCACCATGGAGCACACACACACCATTCCCGTTGCCGCCTTTCTGAATTCTGACCACAGAATAGGTGAGCATAATAAAACGTTTGTTGTTTTTGCAGCTAAGTTTGGGGTGATTTGTTACACAGTGGTAGTCACTGCTGCATAGGTTATTGAGGGAGAGAACAGTCAGAGTATGTTGAGAAGGGAGAGCAGAATCTTGTTTCTCAGAGATCCTCTCTTTTTACAACATGCCCCAAAGATAGATAGATACTATTTCCATCAACATGATGACTTCCAAATCAGAAGCTATACTATGAACCATCAATATTTTCCCAAATGAAGTAGTTTGGGGCTAGGCCCTCAGGTAGATCCCTTTAATTCTTATTACTCTGCCTTCCCCTTCACCAGGACTTCCTTCTGCTGGAACTCAGGGACCATGGCTTCCTGCCCCCTCCCCCTAAACCAGAAGCAATTGAATTGGAAGCCCAGAACTGGCAGCCTAGTTTATACACTGGACATGGAAGGGGATGTCTTGGAGCCTTTCTCCGTCCATCTGACCTGAATTCCTGCTTCTTTATTATGTGGGCAGCACCCTTTATTGCTCACACATAGCTAGTGCTCTTTCTGTCTGATTCCATCAGGGCTTTCCACTCCACATTGCGCCATGAAAAAAAAAAATATTTTTTTTCTGTGATAAACAGAAAAAAATGTCATCCAGCACTTCCACTGCATACCTATATGACAAGTCCATTAAGATGTATTTCATACGCTGCACACGGGTGTTTTGTCCTGGTGTATATCAGAACACCTGCTAGCTTTCACTCTGTAATGTTCCATTTCTCAGGCTCCGTGGGCCCACAAGGGTTTGCTATATTTTTTATTATATATATTTATGTCTTAAATATTTTATACAAGTCACACATACATGCATGATAGTAATTATTAATTACTCTGCACATTTGTCATTGTATAATGTGGAATCCATCAGTGTCATAGTAATAGAATTTTTCAGTAGTCCATTCTGTTTTCTCTCCAAACATCATATAAGTCCTTACTTAGTGGACGGTTTTACAGCTTTTCCTTATTTGTTTAATATTTTTTACTTGAGGATGTGTTTGCTCTAAGAAATACTTCTTAATAACGATGGTAGTCTTTCCTTAAGAGATGAAATTGATATTTGCTCTAAAAAAACCCATTATTTTGTGGAATGTTCTGGGGGGGAAAAAAAGAAAAACACGACCGGAAACATCATTGTACAAAAGCTTCTGTTTAACATCTCCTGTTCCTGATAAAACAGATGTTCTGCATGGAAACATTTACTGGGTCTATTATTTTAAAGGGAAGAGTTTTAACACATTGTATATTGAACTACCACTCCCCCCCCCCCCAATTTCCTAAAAAGTAGTAAAAACACACTCAAATGTTTTATTATAAGTAACAAAATAACATGTGAAGATGAATTGACTGTGGAACATTTAATATGGTTGTTACTAAGTACCCGCTTCTGATGCAGGAACAGGTACATTTTGCACAACATACCAAAAATGTTATGTTTACAATATTGAGTGACAAAAGGTGCACTCAATAAATAAAAACGCAGATAAAAATGTACAATGCCAGCAGAAAATGCCCTATCATGGACTATTACCTAACGAGGTAGAGACTTAGAGTTTGGGAAGAAAAGTTAAGAACTGAGGAAGGGGAGAGAGTTGAATCAGGCATTAAAAAAAAATTTTTTTTGATGGTTTTGGGAGGACGTCTACTAGAGTTGGGTATTAATTAAATGGGCATTTCAGAGAAAATTTCAGAGGAACTAATAGAGTTCGTTATCACTGTGAGTCTTCCATACTGACTGCTGAAGAGGGCGACTTAGAATGAAAAAATGGCAAAATATACCTTTGCTTACCTTCTGCTATTTAAGTTGGTAAATTTCTCTACGGGACGTTAAGAGGTTAGCTATCAGGGCATCAGGATTGGACTGCACACCAGGAACCTCAGAAATACGCACCCCTTCTGTTGATTACACCTGAGTCTGACATCATGCCAATTGGACTTGGAATGTAACTCAAACGTTTCCATACATTGTCCTGTAAGAACAGTGTGTCAAGTTTGCCTGTGATGAGCAAAGATGGTAATTAAAAGCAGGACCTTAACCAGAGAGAAGTTCTGTGTTGCTTCATGCCACTCCCTGCTTTCATAACAAGTGAGGCCCCGGGACTAGGGTGAGTGGGTCCAGGGCAGACTTATCTCTGTCGGTCTTCCTGTCCCAAATCATCCTGTTCTCAGACCGAGGCACCCCAGTACATTCACTTTGTAGTCTGTGTCTGTACTGGGTTCCGGTTACCTGTTTACATTTATGAATTTACTCTGGGTTACACTTATTATTTTATTGCTAAGTTTAAAAAAATATCGATCTAGTTTGGTAATCATGCTAATGATGAAATCAGCTACATGAGTAAACTGAACGATTAGATGGCAGGTGAGAATTTTTAAAAAATAGATCTTTATTGTTGAAGAATAACAGATGTCCCCCCCACCTTTTCTTTTCCCATTGACTCCTACCTACCTCTCACCCGCCCCTCCAAGGCCTTGAGTGACCTGCTCCTATTTCCAGAAGATTAGCTGAAACTCACAAAACATTCTTCATAGAGTACATGTGCTATTCTAAAGAATATGGCAATTATTAACACAGCTAACTATCATCTGATATTATTTCAAACATGTATAATGTTAGTGATAGTACTCCTCTAAAACTGCCCATCATCCTGCTTATGACGTGTCGCCCGGTGGGGGGGGGGGGCGACTGGCCCTGGACAGTGGACCACACACTGGTGAGGGCCTCCCCGTCAGCACCCCTGTAGGTTAGAATTTTCCTCTATTTGGGAAAAATATCAGTGTGGTGGTCTGTGCTCCGTTTACTAGTGTAACTCTTATTTTCCCGTGGCACATTCTAACGCTTGTAATGGCGCAATTGTCCTGTTTTGCTGCTAAAGCTTATTTCACTAATTATTTTCATCACAGGTAACTGGTTTAGTTTTCCTTTTCTTTTTCTTTCAAAGGGGATACCATCTTTTTAAACTGTACAGTGAGAGTGCTATCCTACGTGGTTTTATCTCTGGAAGTGTTTGCTTCCTGTGCTTCCTCTTTATGACTTAATGACTTCTCAGTGCACTTGCAATGTCTTGCATTTACTTCCCCTTTTTACTAGATGCTGGAAGTTTTTTGTTTTTAAATTTTCAGCTAGAAAAATTCATTTGTACTCTGGGAGCCTGGTGATTTTTAGGAATACGGATAATACCAAGTTAACTTTCCACTTTCCTAAAGACACTTACAATTAGCCCTACATCATGGAATGCCCTGGATATATTCAGAACTTTAAAATCCGATCGGAACTCTATTGAAAAAGAAACTGAACACAAACAGGTCACTGTAAATTCTGTGTCCCAGTGACCAGCTGATCACACCTAGAGAATGAAGTCACCATTATCTGTCAGTATTCGTCATTTAGATTGTACCTTTTGCTTCTGCATATAACATTGTCCGTATGTCAGGCTGTGGAGTTCAGAAAACAGTTCTATTTTAAGAGGCCAGAGCTCTCATTTCAAAAACACTTTAGTTTTCCCAGAAAATCTGTTTATCTCCGCCATCTCCTCCCACTGTAGCCGAGCGTTTCCCAAATCCCCCCGTCTCTGGTTACAGACCGACTTGTCTTGCTGTGTGCCACGTTTGGAAGTCAAATTAAACCAGCATCTGTTCTGTTTTAGGAGAAAGCCGATGCCAGCCCCACGTCACTTCAGCTGCGGTCCCAGATCGAAGTAAGCACAGTGGCTTTAATCATCTCGTTTTGCTTCTGCTTTTTATTTTTTAAGTGATATTCTGATGAAGCCTGCTGCTCTGCCTGTACTGATGCTGTGAATTCTCTCTCCTAGGAGTCGCTTGGTTTCTGTAGCGCCGCGTCAACACCAGAAGTGGAAAGAAAGTAAGTTTCAGGATCAGAAATTCTAGGAAAAGGGTCTTTCAGATCCTTGCCGAGGGGGATCGTGTTGTGTATGTTCTATGGAGCTTGCTGTCAGTTTCCTTGTATGTTGTGTGTATGAGTACATGTACAGGGGTGGGCAAAAGTAGGTTTTTGTATAAGTACCCACTTTTGTGGGTCGGTAGTTAAATTACCAGCCATCATTACCTAGAAGATAAATCATAAGTAAGGATATGAAATAACAACAACAAGAAGACAAATAATACAAGTAAATACTACAATAATAAATAATGACTGTAAACATACTTTTGCCCACGCCTGTCTATAGGTAGATAATAAGAGCATGTTTTCAGTTGTAATTTATTTGGTGATGCCTAACGATTCTGCGAAGAGTTACTGATTTCACACTGCTTATTGTGAGTGAACCTTAAATGAATACCTGGAAGTGAGCGTGGAGAAAGGGAAAGGACAGTTAAGTCAACCAAAATGGGTTTTCTTCTTTTACATTAGTTTTGGGTATACGATGAAAGTCATAAATGAGGAAGCAAGGTACAAAATTAAAGTACATTCCAGGGTAAAACCACGATTGAAACATCCTCTCTGCAATTTGATTTGGTGGGTGACCTTAGAACAGGAATAAATGCTTGTGACAGAAGGTGGCAAATGCTCACGGACCTTCAAGGTAATATTTTTGCTTCCTCATCCTAACTTGGACCCTGTCATTTTTACTCCCTTGGAAGATAATTCTATGTTACAGCTCGTATTTTCAGTATTTCTTTTACCTAGATAAAACAACACACATGTCTTTTTTTTTCTATGACCTTTCCCTTTTCTACTTTATTCCTTTATAATTATGCTAGAATGTTCTATTTATGACCTTCCGAGGTTAAGAAATTTTGAGAAAGTCCACTTGTTTAAACAGACACTTCCTTTGGCACAGGGCCACCTATACTGTTTCATGCCAAGAGAGACATAGAAGTGGTTTAGGAATAAAGTATTTCTGGAATGAAAAGCACACGTTGGGAGAGCGTGTGTGCGCTTTACAGCACAGCCCTGCCTAATCCGTCCACGTGTGTGTGCTGCTGGCCGAGCCGCTTCTAGGGGGGAAGGCTGCTTTGCCAAGCCTTCACTCTCAGTTGAAGAGGCTCAGCAGATCGGGTTCAGGACCGAGGCCCCTGGGGGGTGATGCGCAAAAGAAAACCAAGGCACTGCCCACTCAAGGTCAGAGGATGGATGGATGTGCAGTTATCATGAATTTTCTTTGTTTTAGTTGCATATATTCTCCCAGCAACTTAGTAATGTGGAGGAGGCTGAACTAGCCACAAGATGTGACTTGACAATGACCTTGAAACTGGAGGTACTGTGATGTTGAGCAGTAAGTGTTAAGCAGAAGTGTTAAGTGAGTGGGCTGTAGGGTCACCTGACCTACTTTGTGATTCAGGCTGAGAACTCAGGTGGTTCCCTCAGAATCTCCAAATCCTTCAGGAAACAAGAAATGTCTGCCTTTCCTCCTGCGAGGATGAATTTCCTTTGTTTTAGTTGCATATATTCTCCCAGCAACTTAGTAATGTGGAGGAGGCTGAACTAGCCACGAGATGTGACTTGAAAATGACCTTGAAACTGGAGGTACTATGATGTTGAGCTGAGCGTGGGCAGAAGTGTTAAGTGAGTGGGCTGTAGGGTCACCTGACCTACTTTGTGATTCAGGCTGAGAACTCAGGTGGTTCCCTCAGAATCTCCAAATCCTTCAGGAAACAAGAAATGTCTGCCTTTCCTCCTGCGAGGACGTGACTCACCAAATGTGTACTAATCTTAGGCTCAGCGTTTCTTCTTCCCCTCAATTGTGGGGAGTCATTCTTTCCGTGTTTGTATCCTTCACTTAGTGAAATGTGGCATGACTCTTGTGGCCGACAGAGAGACTGACAGCCTCCTCTGAGGTTAACAACAACAACAAAAATTGAAAGCATACACACAGGAAAGCTGTTGACAGACCGACCTCTTCATCTGCAGTACTGCCATTTTGTTTGTGTTCTTTCAAATGGTTTACTTAAACTTTGGTGTTTCTAAATAAATGGAAAGTTTTAATACATTTTGCTCTTCACTTTCTTATTAATAGTTTTTAAAAATCATGGAATTTTTTTCTTTTTTTTACTTTAAAGAACTGTTGAAAAAAATGTTACACTTACAGAAAATTTACAATTGTGCAATGAATGTCCATATAACTTTTACGTAGACTCACTGATTTTCACACTCTTGCTCTCTCTTTTTCCTATATAGTATCACTAATCATGATTACTGCCAAACTATTTGGGAGTAAATTGCAGACATCATGGCACACTCCTCTAAATACTCCAGCTTATATCTCCTAAGGACATAGACAGTCTCTTACAGCCACAATATAATGACCAAGTAGAGGCATTTTAAGACTGACTTTCCTAAAGTACAGTTTATATTCAAGTTTCTTTCATCGTCCCAGCAGTGTTTCTTATAACACTTCTTTTTCAATATAACACTTAAAAAAAATCATTCATTGCATTTACATGTCATGTTTCTTGTCACATTTAATCTGAAAGGACTTCTTGGCTTTTCCTGGTCCTTTATGATGTTGATATTTTTAAGGAGTGTAGGCTGGTTGTTTTGCGAAATATTCCTCAATCTGGGTTTCTTTTTAAGATTCAGAAAACGCAGTTTTGATGTTTTCTCCTCAGTGCCTCATATCAGTTTGTCCCATTATTGGTGTTACTGATTGCAATCATTTGATTGAGGTGATGTCTGTCGGGTTTCCTCTGAGAAGTTACAATTTTCCCTTTGCATTAAAAAATATTCTGTGGGAGATCACCTGAGACTTTGTATCTTGTTCCTCACCAAACTTTTACCTAATAGTTTTAAATTCCCTTAAAAAAAAATGATTCTAGAGAATGAGGAAGGGAGAAAGAAGGAGGGAGGGAGGGAGGGAGGGAGAGAGAGAGAGAGAGAGAGAGAGAGAGAAACATTGATCAGTTTGCACACCTGCTCCATCTGACTGGGGGATCAAATCTGCAAGCTGGGTATGTTCTCTGATCAGGAATCAAACCTGAGTCCCACTGAGCCACAGGGGCTAGGAGATTCCTTTAATGATTCTTGCCTGAATCTATTTTAACTATGGCTCACAGAATGGTGGTACTTATTCTTAAATTAATAATTATTTTGGATTAAATCTTCCAACAATGATTATCTAGAAAGATTGAGGTATCACTCTGGGCACTCTAGGTCAGATTATAATCGGAGTAGGTTTAATGCAGTGTCTATGTTGAATTGTTTGTATTTGTGTACTTGAAAATGCAAATACTTTGAAATGCAAAATCCTGTTAGTCTTCAGATCCAAATGCTTGCTGGTAGCTTCCCAAGCCCTGGAGGATGACCTGGCAAACCAGACAGTTGTGTCTGGTGCCAACCAAAATATCCCTCTGAGTCAGCAGTGTTGTTTTACGGGTAGAAATTGTCTTATGTGTTTTATTTGAAAGGCAAGAGAACTCAGTCAACAAAAGTGGACGAATCCTACAGCAGCCCCGCCCTTAGACGCAGATTGCACTAGACCACGTGGGAGTCGAGCCACTGGCCCTTGTGACTCCTGCCTTCCAGAACTACGGTCCCCCTCACCCCACCCAGTTGTCTCAGGAGCCTGGGCACACCTTGCTTTTTCCCTTCTCCCCCTAGTTAAAACCTGCTTAAGGAAGGTTTCAGGCATTAATTGTGAGGAAAATGTCTGATTTCTAAAAAAACACATCATCTCTCCCAGGAGTATTTAGCATTTAACAATACTATAATGATACAAGTCTTAAATTATAGTAATACTAGAGGCCTGGTGCACGAAATTCGTGCTGGGTAGGGTCCCTAGGCCTGGTCGGCTGGGGCCTCCCTTCCCCAGCTGCTGGCTGCTGGCTGGGGCCTTCCTTCATTCCATGCTGCCCCCTGGTGGTCAGAGCACATCATAGCGATTGAATTCCTGGTCTCCCGGTCAAACTCCTGAGGGGACAGTTGGCATATTAGCCATATATATATCTATGTCTGACCGGAAGAGGTGGGCGTTTTGTAGGGGAGACAGGCAGTGAGAAGTCCGACAACTGATATCACTGCCCCTGGATACCCTGCCTGGTGGGGCTGCTAGCTGATACTAATTTGGCCTGGAGGTGTGGGTGACTTGCATGATAGATAGATGATAGACTATAGAGAAATAGATAGATGGGGAGCTAGAGAGGTATAGAACAGACCTGCCCCCCACTAGTTCGACAAAGGTCCCATTCATCCTTATGTTCTTATAGTCTAATCTCGCCATGTGCTTTCACTGAACTAGAATAAATAAGACCAAGGGAGCTTTCACTGAAACCTCTTCTATTTATATCTATTTATGTTGGCTATTGAGACTGCCTACTCATTACACCAATCTTCGGTTTGTGTCAACTGGCTGAAAGGTGAATGTTAGTTAAATTTTTTGTTATTCACCAGTTAGTCTCAAGAATATCTAGAAAGCAAGGCCATTTTGCTCAGAGATATCTTTATAACTGTATCTATTAGAAACGAGTTTAACCTCGAATAATGGAAAGCATGACAAATAGTGGCATAAACAAACCCAAGGTTCATTAGATAACCCTTGTCCCATGGTTGGGACCGAGGCTCAGTAAGCTTTCAGGAACCAGACTGTCTTTTTTGGTGTGTGTGTGTGTGTGTATGTGTGTGTGTGTGTATAAGCTTTCAGGAACCAGACTGTCTTTTTTGGGGTGTGTGTGTGTGTGTGTGTGTGTGCACACCTGTGTGCTTGTCCTCCTGTTTTAAAGTGGCTGCTGCATCTTCCAGGTGGGAAGGAGAGACAAACAGGGTGAAGGGAAAAAGGTAAAGGGGCAAAAGACCAAAGGCACATTTTTTTAAAGCTTTCTGAGAAACCCCGTGCAATCCTGTATCTCACTCGTTTCTCCCTGCAGCTCCTGTTCGGTGAGCACTAGCTCTGTGTACAGGATGTTGGCCTG